CCCTTCCTTTGTTTATTGTAAGCTGCCCGGAGTCCTTCGGGAGTGGGCGGCATACAAGACCAATAAATTCAATTCAATTCAATACCGCTGCAAAAACTGCAAGGAAAAAAGCAAGGCCCAAAGCTCCTTTCTTTCAAAAGGCAACGGGACTTTTTTGTTTTGCTTGAAGATGTTTCGCTTCTCGTCCCAGATGCTTCTTCAGTTCTGACTGAATGGTGGAGAATGGAAGGATTTATATTCCTTGTAGTCATCTGATCCTTAGTACTCTCTCTGAGAGTCATTGAGATTTATCTGTGTCCTCGGGGCCACCTAAATCTTGTGATCTGCTATATTTTTCTGGAAATCCATTCATACTCGGCACCATTCAAAGGGTGTTCATCCCTAAATGCGTAGCTAAATGTCTGTCAAGATTCTCTGTCATCCATTGTCCCAAAGGTGCTTTTTCAAAAGGCAACTCGACTTCCTTTATTTTTTCTTGAAGACATTTCGATTCTCATCCAAGAAGCTTCTTCTGTGCTAAGGACCAGATGACTGCAAGGAATATGAATCCTTCCATTTCCCCACCATTCGATCAGATCTGAAGAAGCTTCTTGAACAAGAAGTGAAATATCTTCAATCAAAACCAAGAAAGTCCCATTGCCTTTTGGGGAAAAAAACACCACCTTTGGAACAACCATAACCTGGATGACTGAGAATCTCCATAGAAAAAGAAAAAGAAAAAGGCAAAACGGAATTTTTCTACTGGGCACTATTTTTAAGATGTTTAGGAACTGATGCAAAATACCTTCCACCTATCCTTCTTCTTTTAAATTTTCTCTTGTAGGTTCTGGTGTGCTGTGTTGTCTCCTTAGACAGGTTCCATCCATCCATAGTGCTAGATTTTTTTAAAAAAATATGTTTTTCCTTTTCCCTTTCAGTTTTCATAGCAGCATCTATATGTCTGCTTGTGTGTTTGGAAGCCGTTTGTCTAACGGTCCTGTTCTGATGTTGACTCTTGAATGCAGACACAGATTTCAGGCATGGGTCACCCTCCCTCCTTGGTAGGCAATCGCGATGGTCTCATTTGAAGACAAAGAGAAGTTGCCAGATCTCAAAATATTAGGAAATGACACTGCTGAATGTGGGATTCATGATGCAACAGTCCGAATATAAAGGTTGGAAGGTCACGAAAAAGGGGGCCTTCTCCAACTTAATTCTGGCCCAAAGAGCATCCTCAGAGGTATAAGCCACTTCCAGAAGAAGGGAGAGCACAGGGCAGCTTTCCCTGGTGAGAATCCCACAGAAGCACCGAACTCCAGAATTCCCACCCTGCATGAGTTAGCATCTTATCTCCCATTGAACACACCTCCCCTGGGATGGCTTTACCTGCCTCTAATTGCTTAGAAACAT